ATAGATAGATAGATAGATAGATAGATAGATAGATAGATAGATAGATAGATAGATAGATAGATAGATAAATAACAGCGCGTTGAAAAATGTTTTGAGACTTGGATAAAGGTCTACCTTCTAGCAGGACAATGACCATAAACACAGCTGAAGCAGCACTCCTGTGGTGCCCTACTTTTATATTACTTAATTGTACAGTTTCCTCAAATGACTGGAGTGCTTGAAGATTAACCAGTGGTGGACAAGGCCACCCCCCCGGCCATTATGCCTCATCTTGATAAATTTGCTGCCTCCACTCGCCAGTCGTAACCCTGCGCTGCCTTGCGCAAGCTAAAAAATAAAAAATAAAACCTACTGTATCTCTCTTTTTAGACTTACTGTAACTCATACCCATGTGAATAACGTTCACCAAAAACATTAAGCTTTACTTCCATTCCCTGTTCATTCATTACTCAAATCCCTCAGCTATGGGGGATATCAGTCTGAATTGTAATAAAACTTGTGGTTTGTTTGCCAACRTAGTTTCACACTACTATATTTATCAGTAATCAGCTGGCAGGAATACTCATGACAATGGCCTGAGATCACCAACAAAACATGTTTTAATTACAGTGCTGTAGGCAGATAGTTGAGCGAGCAATGAGAAAAAAATTCATTATAATGCAAATATCTGCCAAATCCTTGTTTACTGTTCTCAGTACTGTAATACCTGCGGTCAAATGTGTTGAATATTAGAAACAGAAGAAGTGTCTGCATTCAGATCTTGTTGTTTCAAATGACTGAGAAGCTCAAGGATTTGTATCAAGTGAAACTACACAAGTCAACAACTGTTAATCAGGGTTATTCATCAATCAACATGTTCTGTTGGAACTTATATTAGTAATTAATGATCAGAGTTGTTCCATTTCATGCAGCAGTCCTCCTGACAGCAAGAGGATAAAGTACCTCATGTTGTTGTGTTAGGTAACAGTACATGCATAAACAATAATGAATCAGACTCGCCTGTTCTTCGTTCCAGAATCATTTAAAGCTTTATAACAAACAYGACACAAAACTTTGTGGATCAGTTGGCTTTTCATCAATAAATCAAAAACACATTTGGTTATTTTTGTGGATTATTAAAGAGCTTTTAGCCAAACCACTTCAATCTGAATGGTCATGTTGCAGTTCATCTAACTTTTACATCACTGAGGTAGGAGAGTATGGATTGATCCAGATATTGATATAATCCAGGTGTGCCCAACCAGTCACTCAGCTGGTTCCCAGTCGCCCGCGAAGCGCAACCTTGCTCTAACAGCAGACAAGCCGGCTCATCAGCTGTTAACAAGGTGACGTGTTCGCTCGCTGAGCTTCATTCTAAATCCGGCAGAAGCGGTGGAGGTGGGAGGAGTTTAAGTAACACATTCCAGCAACGAGCTCCCTCGCCCTCCCCATCTTGTATTCTCACATACGTAGTCTCGCGAGTTTTGGGTGCTGTGAAACAATGCTCCGAACACGATCTCGCAAGACTTTAGGGTCACATGTTCACAACATAGCAGAGAGGCGGAAAAAATGAACGAAAGACGAGCTAACAAGCAAACAAAAACTTATTATTTTCACCTGGAGTGGGAAGAGGTCTCATTTGTAATTCGAGCGCTGCCTTGGCTTGTCAAAAAAGGATAACGTGGAACTGCATTTCTTTCAAAACAATGCACAGATGCTACGAGGCAGATTTCCCCTCCTAACCGAGCTCAGAATAACCAAAGCAAAGGTAAGGCTGCTAATGCAGCCCCGTACCTGCCTCAACACAAAAAAACGTCTTTCAGCAATGACGAAGTTATGAAAGAAGCGTTTGATGCTGCAGACGTGCTTTTCCGTGATTTTAAAAATAAAAGTGAGATTGTGGCTGCTATAAAGATGCGCAGTTGTCCACCGGGATGGATGTGTCCAAATTTGTGTCCGTGTTTCAGCTGGACTGCTCTGGTGTTGAAAATGAGGTTTTGACTCTGCAAAATGACATTGGGATCAAATCCAGAGCAACAAGTYGCATGGATGGAGAGTTCTGCAGTCTGCTGTCAGAGGAAAAGTATCTCACCATCAGAAGAGGTACTTTGGACTTGATTCAGCTTTCTCTCACATGAAAATCATCAAGTCCAAGAACAGATCCACTGATGATCATCTGGAGACCTGCCTGTGCCTCTCATCCACCTCATACTGCCCACCTGAGACCCTGGCGTCCTCCTCTCAGTGTCAGAAGTCCCACTAAGGTAGACGTACATTTATTTTTATATAGCTTGCATAAAAAGTTGTCTCCTCTAGACTTGTCACAATGGGTCTGTATGTTGTTTTTTTTATTACATTTTAGACCAGACTAGTGTGTTATGCAACGACTGGCACCTCTGTGTTATTTATTTATTTATTTTGCAGTTTGGGTGTGCCCTTGTTTTCTGTACCTAGCGTGGCTGTGTGTGTGTCTTGTTTATAGGTGGTGAACCAGGTGGAACTCTTTGAATGGTCTGGAGCCGGCAGTCTGGACCATTGAGGGACTGAGCTCTTCAACACCTACAGATGACATCATCCTGCATGCTGCAGATTGAGGATTGAAATAGTTGGAGATTTGTGAATSTGCACCATCGTAAGTCACTTTTTGTAATAGTATAAACGAGAAAGTTTTATATTGTGTGCTTTGACTTTGAAAAAAGGGCGGTACTCTTGTTGTAGCCAGGTTGACCCTAATTGATAGTTTTTTGTTTTGTTTTTCCTCCCCTGTATGGACAGAAAGAGAGGAGAGTTCTTTGAATAAATGGAGATGAGTTCCCGTGCTCCAAAGTTATTTGGCTCTGGGTTCTTGCACTAGAAAGGGTTTCCAGCCCTCATAGCTCACACATTACAGTGCGTACTAATTGAAGGAGGTAAAAAAATTTATCCTTTTTGTTCGAGCACCACTTTTCTGTTTCTCTGTCAGGAGTTAAGTAAGGATTTTATCATTTCTTTTTTTTTTGTAGGTAAATATATGGTTAAGTAGATAGTTTTGTTTGACAATACTTTACATTCTGTTTTATTTACTTTAAAGAAGTGAGGAGTAAGTAGGGAGATAAAAAATTATGTGCTTTTTTTATACTGAGACTGGACGAGTAGATCTCGGCAAACTGCCAACTTCAAAAGTAGATCTTGGTTCAAAAAAGGTTGGGCACCCCTGGGAATCTCTGCATGTATTCAGCTACAGAACCTTTAACAGACTTAAGATGAATTACCAAAAAGAGCTTTTTGTAAAACTGCCTCTTTAGAACAAAAGAGATGCGAGAGCTGAAGCTGAGTTAATCAATAATGATTTTGATTTAAGGCTTAAATAACAGCCTGAACACCTCCATCTCTCCTGGTTTTAATGGTTTTAAGTTGCTGTATGAACAAGTAGTAGTGATGAAGTGGAGCATGTCAGCAGACTTCATTTACCTAATCTAAGCTTTGCGTTGACTCTCAGTGGAAATGTAATAAATGTAGGCCTTAAAWGCACATTTTAGTTTCCATGAAAAAAACACAGACATTTCAGCAGAGGCTACTGTTTCTCAAAATGCGCCTAAAAGCACAATTACAAGAAAAATCCCAAATTGTTTCAGTTCAACACTTCACATGAACACAAAGGAGATACAAAAGGTGAAGGGAGAGTCGAAAAGGCAATTAAGGGTTCCAGGAAACAGGAAAAAAAAAAGTATTCAAGCATCAAGTAGTTTCTACATGGAAGAACCAGTTGCTGAGCAGATCTAACAAATAGGATTTTAGTTGATAACTTTGACACATGCCCACAGGGTTTTAAGAGTGTGACCGTTTTGGTCTCACATGCTATCAAAAATCTGTCAAGTGTGAAAAAAATGTAATCTGCCAGAGCAGTGGCCCAGCCTGTGTGCATTTCTGTTAATGTCCCCTCACTGGTCGTCTGTGTCACGTCCCAGATTGTTGATCATCTGCTGACAGAGACCCTGCTCTTCTCTGCTTCTCTCAGCTTCAGTCTGATAAACTTCCTGCTCTTTGAGTCTCAGAGTTTCTAGCTTGTGTCTGGTACCTTTGATTGAGAAAATAACTTCTGTTTGTGTTTACATTTGTATCCTGTAATTTGATGCTGTATGCTAGCTTTAAACACAGCACAGTAATTCTCTGTAATAATTTTAAAAAAGCAGTAATCTTTAACACAGAAAAATCAACAAATTATACTTTAGTTGCCAAAAGAAAGAGCAACAGTCAGAGGCAGTCTGTGCTGTATTGTTGCGATTTAGTTTGATTTAGTCCTCCATGCTTTCTGTTCTCACCACGCAATTATCTCGACATTCAGGTTGAGTGTGTGTGTGTGTGTGTGTGTGTGTGTGTGTGTGTGTGTGTGTGTGTGTGTGTGT